CCCTTGTTTCCTTGTGTCTGAAATTAAAATATAATAAGAAAATACATGACCCATACCCGTTGAATATGTTTATGCATTTCCTCGATATAAGCATGTAAAAATATCTTTACATACATATAACAATAAATAGTATAATAATTTTGAGAAATATTTTAGTTGTCTTTCGTAATTCATCTCGTAGACAAATCATTGGCGATATAATCATCATTTTTTCATCATTATCATCATCAGTCCCATAAATATTTCGAATTGATGCTCCACAGTACCAAGAACGTATCTTAGTTGATACCGAGTAGTACTCATTTGAGAGTCTTGGGCAGTTAAACCTGTTGGAGCTTATCCCTCACCAAGTCAAATCTCTGTCGATGTCTTCGAATTTGAAGGTTCATCTTGGTCACAAACACGTAGCCGTTGAATTTTATTGGGGATTTCTTCACTATGTCGAAACCTTGTCATGCCTGCACTGGCTCCATACAAAGCCTATTCAGCCCAGTCTACCCCATAGGTTTAAATGTCCGTTGGCCATCCAAGAAGGGTCTTACGTAGAACATTCTTTAATATAATTTAGTTTTAGTTGGATGTTTCATTACTTGTACATTGAGCTGTAGAAATATAAAATTTATGAAACTAGAACAGTCTACCCCAGTCAGCGAAATAAAGGGTTTAGTTCGACATTCCAACCACCTGAAGAAGGCCGGAGCGTACAACGGCCGAAACGTTGTAATAAATATGGCGACAAAGATGAGGACAATAGTTCGTATAATGTAAATAATGTTGTTTATTTTCTTTCTTGTTTTTGGTCTCATATTTTCACTGACATGAGGTGAAATGATATAATACTCCATTAATTGTTTATTGGTCCTTAGCAATATAAAGAAAATATACGAGGTGACAACCTGTTAGTCTTGTGTCAGTTCAATTTAAACTTATTAAATAATTAATGCAATCACAGTATTTGTTTTTTTGCAGTTTCATCGCAATGATAGAGTCATTTGTCTACCAAGTTAACTTCTAGGTCTTATTTGCAATTATATGATACTAATCCTCAGGATTTTAAATTGAGTAGGAGGTTATTTTTCCTGCTGCTAGTCTCAAATAGCACTGTAAAAATGCACTGTTATCAATCAGATATATCACATTGAAACACAACTTTTTTTATTCATAAATAATTATACTTTAAGAGCTTTTAAACACACGATGTAGCGGTTATGAACGTGGAAATATTTACCTGGCCTCCCAACAATGGCAGGTTCGATTTTACGTGTGGACTGCCATACCTGTGCCTATACAAATGTTCTGAAGACAGACATACCCGTGCCTATACATATGTTCCGAAGACAGACATTTTTCCCCAGTCCCTTCGACCTCTGTCACGCTAGAATCGATATTGCACCGACCCTAATTCTTAATCCAATGAGGGAGGTTCTTCCGCAGAGCGGGAAAACATGGGACCAGGTGCCCTCTAAAATTTATCAAACTATCCCAACCATTTTATTTTTAATAATTAATTTTTTTACCTTTACGATAAAATGTAAGCGTAGCGGAGTGGTTATCGGCATGGTATCTGGCACGGCGTTACAAGTTCAAATTTCGACTGAGTACGTTTATACTCACTTTTGCGAAATATCCTTGTGGAAGGTAATAATCCATTATTTCTATCCTCACTATAAAATAGATTCTTGGAGAAGGATAACTTTAAATTACAATGGGTTAGTCGTGGTCTTATCAACACCATCCCGTAAATAAAAACAAAAAACTATTTGCTACATTGATAATGTATGACGTGTTGCCGCTATGCCTTTATTCCTCAAAGAGAAGTCTAATAGTGATTTTCCAAGCGTGGCCCAAGGTCGAAAAAATGGGGCACCCAGTGACGATTAACTTCACTACTAAGTCGTAATTGATCTTAGCAAAACACGCTTTCTAACCATGTCGGGGTTCCCATGATAAGTCTAATAACATTGATAGAAAATGAGAAAATAATCCTGATAAAAATACAATAAAAGCGGATATAGTATTGTCAATGAGTATTCCATTCTGTTTAGTATTCCAATGTCAATTTTTGGTGTTTCTACGCTGAAGTTTCTATATTCATGCGCGTATTCTTCGATCTATTTCCGTTATACATTTTAGGTAGTACGTTTTTGTAGTTATATACAAATGAAAATGTACCCAGGGCAGAGACAAGAAAAATTATGGTTATAATTTGCTCAAGGACAAATTCAATGAACGTGTTAGATAAGACGAATCACAACAGAAAGAAATTCACCTTATAATTATGGAATTGCACTTTACAGGTCTTAAAATAGCTGAATTGGCTAGCCAGTATATATGCTAACATTTCATGACTGTTTGCAACTCAAGGAAACCCAGATTTGGATTTAAGGATTATACGATATTAATTCTTGCCTTAATGAAACAACAACGAAATTTGTTGTTCTGAAAATTTGAGTATATGACATTATTCATTGAGAATTTATTTTTATGTTTGCAGCAGATAAAAAAAAATAAATATCTGGTAAGTCTTTAAAAAGAGGATGGAAAGTGTGACATCGAAAACCGAAGCAAAAGCTGCTTTCCAAAAGCTAAGTAGCGTAATACGAAACAGGAAAAAATCATTAGAGACCAAAAATTACTAAACTCTTATATAACATCAGTCCTCCTATATGATATTGAATGCTGGATAATCTCCTCACAGGTGATGAAGAGATTTAAAGTATGTGAACAGAGTTCTACAGAAAGTTACTATAAATAGCATGAAGTGAACATATGATCAACGATAATGTTTTAGAGAAAATGGAAACAAAAGGTTATTTAACGCAATTCCCCATGTATATTACGCATTTTTTTCTAAAATATAATAAATAAAATAATGTGTGCGTATTATACACAGCTACAAAAAATCTTTAAAAAAATGCCGTAAAATAGGATAAGAATTATCATAAAACTAAATTAGAATAATATTATTTTATGTTTAAAACCATTTTTATGAATAAGATTAGTAAACACAGTCCGTAATGAAATCGGAGAGGTACAATTTATAGGGTTTGATTACCAAATAAGAGTTGCGTATTATGCGTGAGTAGAAGCATTCTCTCACACTTTCAGCACAATTTTATGTGTGCGTATTATAGATGAAGGCGAATTCCACATGTTGAATTACGGTATAATTCACATCAAGCTGAAAGTTGAAATTTCTAGAGCATATAATGAGCAATGAGAGTACAGAATATTTGACATATTGAAGGCAAGAAAGACGACATTGGTAAACAGCGTATAACCTGGCTAAAGAGCGTGTAGAAATGGATGGCTGAAACGTTTTTTAAAAGAAACATCAAGAAGACAAAAATTACTAAAAGCTAAAAAGGACTAGGCATTTTAAAGAATTATGATCGCAAATTTCTTGATGGGAGGATATAGAAGAATTAGAAAATAGTTGCAAAAAATTACATGCAATAACTGAATCTTCTGGCTTCAAAATATAATTTATAAAAATTTGATTAAGTTATTTAAATTAATATTATAATTTTTCCTGACTTTACTTGGATAATATTATCGAACAACTCAATACTGATGAAAAAAATGGAATTCATCAACAAAAAATTAGAATTTATTCTTAGCTGACTTTTCTCAAGATTTTATGCTGCTGTTGTCTATTTCAGATAAGGATTTCTCTAATTTAACTCAATATCACCTTTGTGGCTCCAACTTAACTGAATGATGATTAATAGATCTTCTTTGGTGAACGAAGCCTTGAGTCTCTTCACTGGCCATATTAATTCTATATGCTTCCCTGAATAAAAGCGTTGTGAGATAATGAATTATAGTCTTGAAAAATGATTTCCTCATTACCAAATTAAATTTCTGTCACGAGAATGAGAAAATTATCTAGCATTTCATGTGCATGCAGGGATAATTATTGCCTTTTCACCTGGCACTTAAAAACAAAAACATGTAACACCATATCCTAAATGGCTTCAGATATGTACTTGATTTATACGCTTCATTTCAGCGACACCAAAATTTCCAGATGTAGAAACTTGTATGTTTCACTAAATATCGAATTAACACAATCGTTCACATGCTTCAGATATAAGTAACCATATGTTCTTATGGTCGTAGCTGAACTATCCTTCCATTTCTTTTTATTAAAATGCACCATACTTGGCCGGTCATGACACTTAATGCCTAGTCAATGACGCGCCAGTAACTATAGAGAAGAGTTTTGATGGAGACAGCATGAAGAATGGATGCTTAACAGACAAGTGAGTAAAGCACAGCTTTTTTTAAATTCATTTGCAGGTTTTGTAACTTAAAAAAAATTTTCTTGGGTGCGCTAGAATCCCTGCTTCAGGGTTTGAAAGAAGGTATGTAATATGTATGTAGTATAAAAATTCTAATAGTAACAAATTATCTTCCGATGTAAAATTCCTGTCACCGTTCTACGTTAAGTGCAAATAATTTGGAATGTTACAATTGAATTTCAGCTCTGTGTTAGATGTTTTATACGTTTTAAAAGTACGTTCTTTCATTTTCTTTAGGTGCAGTTATAGGATATAGCATGGGTTTAATTTTTTAGTTGAATATATATATATATATATATATATATATATATATATATATATATATATACATATATATATATATATATATATATATATATATATATATATATATATATATATATATATATATATATGAACACTTGTGGAAGCGCGTTTTATTTTGGTGATGTTGTTGTTGGCGCTGATGTTGTGAACTACCAACGTGGTTGAGAGTATATATGTAGAAAGGAATTAGTGAGGAATAGAAGAAGACAAAGTTAATCAACGAATTAATGAAAAAGAAAAAAAAGCAAGGAAAGGAAGAAATAATGAATGAAACGTGGAAGAAAAAAAACAAGAGCCATGGGAAAATGTGAAGGAAGGGGGCAAAGCCAGAATCTAAGGAACCAAGCACTGAGTAACTCATGGTAGTAAGAAGAATGGCGACAAAGGTAA